AACAATATGTATATTTATATATATTAAATATATATATATTAAATATATATATATTAAATATATATGTGTGTGTGTGTGTGTGTGTGTATTTACAGGCTCAGAAACCCTATAGGACAGCTCTCCTCTGTCCTCGGGGTCACACTGACTTAATGGCAGTGAATCTGGGGTTTTTTTTAGAGGCTACAGAGTTTCAATTCAGTGCTCTGAGTTCAGGAAAGTTATTGTTACAAATCCGTGAATGAATGTCTTCTGTCTCCTCTGTAGATTTGTGTCCATCCAGGAGGTCGCTCCAGAGGTGGAGAGGGGCATCAGCTCGGCCAAAGCCCTAGTGGTTCTGCTCCCCCAATGAGGAAGGAACTCGGCTCTCTGAAGAGGACAGGGTCCCTGTTTGCAGACAGCAAGGATACGGTTCCCTGACTGCATGCAGCATCCCACTGCCACCTCGGAGCAGGGGAACGGATGAGACTACTTGGTAGGCGATCAGAACTGAGGCTGGACCTCTGACAGCCTAGTGCTATGTGAGATGTCCCCGCCCAGAACTAAGGAGGGTCGAGGTCCCCGAGATCACCACCGGGCACCCCGTGAGGAAGAGGCCCCGGAGCCTTGGGACTGGAACCGTCCAGAAACACGCCGTCTCCTGGAGGATGCCTTCTTCGGTGACGAGGATTCACTCCGCCCCGGTTCCGAGGAGTGCCAGAAGTTCTGGGCCTTCTTTGAGCGTCTGCAGAGGTTCCAGACTCTCAGGACAGCCCAGAAGGAGGAGGAGAGAGACCCCAGGCCCCCCAGGCACAGCATCCCGGCGCTGGCAGACCTGCCTTGCACCTATGACGCCCGCTACCGCATCAACCTCTCGGTGCTGGGCCCTGACCCTCGCACCTCCCGGGAGCTGGCCCGGCGTGTGCCCCCCGAGAGGGTGTCCGAGTTCCGCCGGGCCCTGCTGCACTACCTGGACTTTGGCCAGAAGCAGGCCTTCGGGCGCCTGGCCAAGCTGCAGCGGGAGCGTGTGGCGCTGCCCATCGCCCAGTACGGGAAGCGCATCCTGCAGACGCTGAGGGAACACCAGGTGGTGGTGGTGGCAGGGGACACGGGCTGCGGGAAGTCCACTCAGGTGCCCCAGTACCTGCTGGCCGCCGGCTTCAGCCACGTGGCCTGCACGCAGCCCCGACGCATCGCCTGCATCTCCCTGGCCAAGCGCGTCGGCTTCGAGAGCCTCAGTCAGTACGGCTCGCAGGTGAGTCAGGGTGACATCTGTATTTGAGTTACTTTTGTGGATCTCATCGTGACCTCTCCACACACCCCAAAATCAAAACCTAAGCAAACCCACTGCCTTCAGGTTGACTCTGACACAGACCCCGGAGGACAAAGTAGAAATGCCCACAGGGTTTCCCACGCTGTGAATTTTTACAGGAGCAGACTGACGCTGCTTTCTCCCCCAGGCCAACTGGTGTCTTCAAACTGCTGACCTTTGAGTTAGCAGCCCAGTGCTTTAAATGGAGCATCACTGACGCTCTCCAGAGCCGCCCACTACACGCTCGTGCCAGTCCTCCATCTGTTTCCCAGGCTGTAAACCCTCATGGGAGAAGACCCGCATCTGTCTCCCTCAGAGTGCCTAGTGGGTTCAAACACCTCACCTGTTGGTTAGAAAGCGAGTGCCTTAGCCACAGTGCCACCAGCGTTCGTCTCTTTCTGAAAGGGTCGTACCTGTAGGTACCCGTCACGCCAGGCAAGGTGGAGAGTCGGAGAAAGAGAGGAAGACCCACGATAAGATGGGCTGGCACAGTGACGGTGACAGTGGGCTCGAATGTCAGAGATGATGAGGGTGGCCCAGGGCAGGGCAGGGTTCAGATCTGACAGCAACATCAACCCCTTGGCACCAAGGCAGTTCCCACTCAGACAGAATAAAAGTGCCCATGGGGTCTTCTAGGCTGCAGTCCTTGGGAGAGCAGGCAGACGGCTGCATCTCCCCCTGGAGAGCGGTCTGTGGCCTCAGCCTGCCAATCCCTGGCTTTTCGTAACAGCCAGAGCTTCACCAGGACCCGTCTTTACACAGGTTAAGATCTCAAGATCTAGGGGAGCTCTGGTGGCCTAGTGGCAAGGAGCTGCAACTACAATCCCAGAGGCACACGGTTCGAATCCACCAGATGCTCTGCCGGGAAAAGGAGGAACAATCTCCTCCTGTACCAGTCAGATCTGATTTGACGGTACACACACACAAAAATAAAAAAACAAAACAAAACAAACAAACAAAAAAACAAAAACAAGATCTCAAGATCTATTGTAGGGAGACGGGGCCCGCACTTGGGAAGTAAGTTGCTTGTCCAGATGGCGGTACCAGTTAAAGTTACAAAAGCACTTCCCTGTGACTCAGCGAGGGTTCTAGAAATCTGCCTGCGACTTGACTTGTGTGCCATCCAAATGCCAAAGATACTCCATCACCCAGTCACGCAGTCTTAACAGCAGCCGCCTGGAAACGTGTGACATGCTGCTCACTCTCTTTCAAGCAGCTGTAACAAAAGAATGGGGACGTTTCTTGAGAGACGATTTCTGGAGCTGTCATCCTAGCACCTTGGTTAAGCATTCGGCAGCCGGTTGATTGATAATACTTTGGTGGTTCAAATGCACCAGGTACCCTGTAGGAGAAAGGTGTGCCAGTCAGCTTTGTAGAGATTGTTTCTCGTTTGTTAACATTTTATTACATCCGATGGGTGAGGGCTTTGGGGGACAGTGGGGCCCACTCTGTATTCCTTGGCCTTCCTCATGGTGGCCTGGACATTGCTGGGTCCTTCCTGCTTCCTCTTGGCGCAGGTGTGTGTCTCCACTTGTTTCTTGATGAACTTGAGGGCCCACCTGTCCTTGGAGACCTTGAGCAGCTCCATGGCTCAGTGCTCATATTTCAGGAAGCCGCACACCTCCCGGGTCGTGTCCGGCACGCGCTTGGTGTGCTCGGTGAATCGCCTGTGGCGGCTGGGCCTCAGCTTACTCGTGTTCTTGGTTCCTTTGTGGCCTTGGTTGAGGCCGTGGGGTCGCACGCAGCCGTGGCTGCTGGACTTCCGAGGCCATGGCGGTGGGAGGAGGGTAGTGTGTGGACTCCATAAAGGTGATGGTGGTGGTTGTTAGGTGCTGTGGAGTCAAGTGTGACTCATAGTGACCTTCTGAACAGCAGATCTGAACCTGTCGTGTCCTGTGTCACCCTCACACTTCCTGACACACGTGGGCCCACTGCTGCCCTCACCGTGCCCTTCAATCCTGCTTAAAACAGAATCAAACCCTGCCCAGCCCTGCGTGTCCTCACAATCTCTCGTTGTGCAAAAGCCCATCAAAACTACCCATTTTCTGTTAACAGCCAAACGCCTTACCCACAGCACTACCAAAACTCAAGTGTCTTCTACGAGGCTCCTTCAGTTCAGATCCAGCCACAAGCTTGGTGTGTCCAGGTCCAGACCATCGGGCTACAGACTGGGAATTCCCACAGCTGCCTCTGAGGGCTCGCGGTGGCCGAACTGTTGAGTGCTGGGTTGCCACCCTAAGGGTCATTGGTTCGGACCCACCAGCAGCTCTGTGGGGAAAGATGGGTGTCAGTTTCTGTGGACGTGACGGCCTTGGAAAGCGTGAGGCAGCTCTGCCCTGCCCTGCCGGGGTCGCTGTGAGTCGGAGTTGACCCCACACCGGCAGGTGGACAGTTCAGGTCTCTGCCCATGTCCCCCCTGCAGGTCGGCTACCAGATCCGCTTCGAGAGCACGCGATCGGCGGCCACCAAGATCGTGTTCCTGACGGTGGGGCTGCTCCTGAGGCAGATCCAGCGGGACCCCCACCTGCCCCAGTACCAGGTGCTGATCGTGGACGAGGTCCACGAGCGGCACCTTCACAACGACTTCCTCCTGGGCGTGCTGCGGCGCCTGCTGCCAAGGCGGCCGGACCTCAAGGTGGTCCTCATGTCGGCCACCATCAACATCGCCCTCTTCTCCGACTACTTCGGGGGCGCCCCGGTGGTGCAGGTGCCCGGCAGGCTCTTCCCGATCACGGTCAGTGCCAGCTGCTTCACTGATAGCACAGCCTCCCCTGGTGTCCGGCCACACCCCCCATTGGTGTCCGGCCACGCCCCCCATTGGTGTCCGGCCACGCCCTTACCTCCTGTCTGCTGTCTGGCCACGCCCCCACCTCCTGTCTGATGTCAGGTCACGCCCCCACCCCCTGTCTGATGTCTGGCCACGGCCCCACCTCCTGTCTGATGTCAGGCCACGCCCCCACCCCGGCTGATGTCAGGTCACGCCCCCACCCCCTGTCTGCTGTCTGGCCACGCCCCCACCCCCTGTCTGCTGTCTGGCCACGCCCCCACCCCTGTCTGCTGTCTGGCCACGCCCCCACCTCCTGTCTGATGTCAGGTCACGCCCCCACCCCCTGTCTGCTGTCTGGCCACGCCCCCACCTCCTGTCTGCTGTCTGGCCACGCCCCCACCCCCTGCCTGCTGTCTGGCCACGCCCTCACCCCTGTCTGCTGTCTGGCCACGCCCCCACCCCTGTCTGATGTCTGGTCACGCCCCCACCTCCTGTCTGCTGTCTGGTCACGCCTCCACCTCCTATCTGATGTCAGGTCACGCCCCCACCCCCTGTCTGCTGTCTGGCCATGCCCCCACTCCCTGTCTGCTGTCTGGCCATGCCCCCACCTCCTGTCTGCTGTTTGGCCACACCCTTACCCCTTCTCAAGTGTCTGGCGACGCCCTCACCTCCTGTCTGCTGTCTGGCAGTGCCCCAGCCTTATGTCCATACCCCACTTCATGCCCAGTAGCTGGTTATGTCTGGTGTTTGACCACAACCGCTGCCTGGTTTCTGGCCATGCCCCCACCTACCTGGCATCTGGTCACCCTGATAATTGGCCACAGCTACTGCCTAGTATCTGACCGTATCCCCCTCCTCCTTATTTCCTGGTTCTTGTCACTTGCCATCCATCTTCCCCCATCTCTGCTTGTTTCATCTGCTCCTTTTATATTTTATAAGCCATTCTCTCAAGACACACCCTACACTAAACCTGTCCCATTAATGACCGAGACAAATTATTCCTAAATGGAATCCTAACCACAGAGATTATAACACATACCTGGCTGTTGAGAACCTACTCATAGCTCACCCTCCAGTTTTTCAGAAGCTGCGACTCACATGGGTGGAAACTGCCTGCCTTTCTCCCGTGGAGCAGCGAGTGGAGACAGGTCTCCTGCCTTTGGGTTGACAGTGCAGCTCCTTACCCACTGGGCCCCCAGGGCCCCCTGACACATATTTTCAATGACACAATTAAGTCCCTAATTCTTTTAATGCTTTTTGATCCTTCCTCCTCAGATGATGCTATCTGAGTGTCGTGTGAGAGATCCCTATCTTTGCTGCCGTATCTTCCAGACTTATAGGACTTTTGCTCAGAGTGCCCCAGTGCCCCTCCCTGGAGGTGACAGCGTGGACTCTGTCTCATCGCAGGTCGTCTACCAGCCCCCAGAAGCAGAGCCGGCCGCAGCCAAGTCAGAGAAGCTGGACCCGCAGCCTTTCCTGAGGGTGATGGAGGCCATCGACAACAAGTACCCACCTGAGGAGCGGGGCGACCTCCTCGTCTTCCTCAGTGGCATGGCCGAGATCAGCATCGTGCTGGAGGCCGCGCAGACTTACGCCAACCACACGCAGCGCTGGGTGGTGCTGCCACTACACAGCACGCTCTCTGTGGCCGACCAGGACAAGGTGACACACACACACACACACACACACACACACGGAGGAGGCCGGGGCCGGCTGAGGGGGGCAGACAGGCTTCTCCCTGGGAGGCAGGAGGAGGCAGGGCAGCTATGGACAGGTGAGGTGGAGGGCAGAGATGGCCCCTCACCTCCTCTGGATGGGAGAGCAGGGGCCAGGGAGAACTTCCAGTGAGGTAGAGGACATGGGAGCAGCTCCAGTTAGAGGAGGGCATTCCAGGGGCACGTGCTGGACAAAGGAATTGTTGTTTGTTTGTTTTTTTACATTTTATTATTTTTGTGTGCGTGTACCGTCAAATCAGATCTGACTGGTACAGGAGGAGATTGTCCCTCCTTCCCCGGCAGAGCATCTGGTGGATTCGACCGTGCACCTCTGGGATTGTAGTTGCGGCTTCTTGCCACAGGAATTGCTTTTGACGGTACCATTGCGTCAGTTCCCACTCGTGGTGATCCTGTGTGACAGGGTTTGACCCCCTAGAATTTCTTTTTATATTTTCTGAAAACAACCTTTTATGTGATTTGAATTTAACTTCAGAGAGCACATTGGCTTTCTGTTCAACATTCCACACACTTTTACGTCCCTGGACATTGATTACAGATCCCGTGGTGTGGTACCTTTCTTCCCACTGGCTCCGTATATTCTCATTTCCTTCTGTCCTTCTTTCCCACCCCTTCCTATCACCTAAACTTTGTTGTTGTTGTTGATTGCCTTCAAGTTGAACATGACTCATAGTGACCCTATGAACAAAAGGCCTGAAGCCCCTCTACAATTATCGACATTTATCAAAGTTCATAGAGTTTCTGTAGACATGTTGTTTAGAAAGTGAACACCACTCCTGCATTCAAACCTGTCATAGTGTGTTATTGTTCTGTGCCATTGAGTCGCCTGCAGTATATAGTGACCGAACTAAGGTTTATCTCTGGACAAATGCTGCACTTTGGTCGTGTGGTCTGATTGTTCCGGGGAACTCATACCTCCCTTGTGTTATTGTTCACCTTGTAGGCCCTTTGATTGAATGGCTGAAAGTTGAACCGTGGGGCTGATTTCAGCTCCTGGCTTGAAGAGAGGCTGAGAACCAAAAGTCTGAGGGCTTCCACTGGTCTCTGTCACACCAGCAAGCCTGGACTTTGTTTCTTTTCAGTGTTTCATGTTTTTCTTTGCACACTCTCCAGGACCTCCTATTGTATTCCCTTACAGAGCAGTCAGCAGCTGTAGCTAGTTCTTCTGGTCTCAGCATCTCTGCCCTGCGAGGTGGGGAGGGCCTCGGTAAGGGCGTGAATTACAGGAGGTGAGCACCATCTTGGTGGCTGACCTTGAAGTCCCCCAGTCTTCACCTTTCCGGTCCCACAGTGGTGCTCAGTGGCACCACCCCAGCGCCTCCCCCTGAGATGGGGGCTTTAGGACTCAGGGCTGCCAAGATGTGACCTTTACCCTCTGTGGCTGCTGGCATATTGGTGCAGACAAACAGTTTTACTAACCTTCAGGAAAGAAACAGGGTCTCCGGGCACCCAGAATCTTGGTGGATTCAGGAAAGGCTTTCCAGAGGAGGAGACTGGTCGAGGCCGAGATCTGAGACAGCCAGAGTGTAGTGAAAGGACAGAGAGAACTTTCCAGATTAGGTGTGATAAACAGGTCAGGGCTCTGCTCTCCATACACATCTCATCTCACAGCCACCACATCTGGCAGGTCTGTTAGCGTGTTTGGCAGGTGGAAAAACAAGGCTTAGGGAAGTGGGATACAGTAACGTGCAGACTCACACACAGCTTCACAGAGCAAGGATTCAAACTCAAGTGGCTTTGCACCAGAGCCCATGCTCTAAGCCAGAGATGGGCAGACTTTCTTGACAAGTTGTTGTTTAGTACCACTGAGTCAGAACTAACCCGTAGCTGACCCTCCAGTGGGTTTCCAGAGGCCGTAAATCACACCAGAGGAGATTGTCCGTCTTCTTCCTGTGGGACAGCTGGTGGAGTCGAACCATGTGCCTTTGCATTGACAGCATAGTTCCTTACCACCGAGCCACCAGTGTGCCCTTCTGTAAAGGGCTAGCGTAAATCTTTTCCGTCTTGCAGGCTATAAGCTGTCTCTCTGCAGCAGAGTTACGCGGCAGTCCGCTTCCATAAAGCTTCCGGGCTGGAAGGCACTGTGGAGAGAGAGGTTCACTCAGTCTCACTCCCAGGCTCCTAGGGTCATTTTGCTTCCTGAAAGGTCGGAGGACGTGAAGCACTGACTGAAGGAGAGCCGAGACTATACGGTATGGACTATTATACCTCAATATAAAGCAAGCAAAACTCCTCCTCACCGGACCAACAGGCATCCTCATGGGAAGTGGAGAAGAGATTGACGTTGTCCGAGATTCCATATTTTTGGACCCCCCAATAAACACCTAAGGAAGCAACAGTCAAGAAAGCAAAAGACACATGGCTATGGGCACATCTGCTGTCAGAGACCTCTGCTCAAGAGCATGGGTGCCACTCTAAAAAGGAAAGTGTGCCCAACCTGTCAGGTATGCCATGGTATGTTCTCAGTTGGTTCATACGCGTTTGAAAGTTGGATCGTGAAGACGGGACCGAAGATGAATCCACGCCTTTGCACTGTGGAGCTGGCAGAGTGTTGACTATGCCGTAGACTCTCGAAAGAACAGACAAGTCTGTCTTGGTACAGTTCAGCCGGCAGTGTTCCTTAGAGCAAGGAGAGCCTTCACCTCAACTCCTCTGGGCGTGTGGTCAGGAGGCGCTGGTCCTTGGAAAAGGACACTGGACTTGGAAAGATGGGCAGGGGAGAGGAAGATCCTCGGACACATGGGTTGACACAGCGACCCCAGCAGTGGGCTTGAGCGCAGTGGAGGTGATGAATGAGGGTGGCACAGAGCTGGGCAAGGCTTCAGTCTGTTGTGCACAGGGTAAGGAGAGGCTATTCCTTGGAGAGAGACTTGATGCTCAGAAAGATAGAGGGTCGGCGAAGGAGAGGAAGACCCTCGGCCAGGTGGATTGACACGGTGACTGTCACAGTGGGCTCTGATGTGTCAGGAAGTGTGAAGATAGCACAGGATAGAACAGGGTTCTGGTCTGTTGTTCATCGGGTCGCAATGGGTCATACTTACCCTCCAATTGAAGGCAGTAGGTTTCTTTTTTTATTTTACAACCCTGGAAGGGGCCCTGGGGCCACAGTTTTAAGCACTGGGCTGCTGACGGGAAGGTCGAGGTCTGAACCCACCACCAGCTTCCTGGGGGAAAGCCGTGGCAGCAAACTTCTGGAAAGATGTCAAGTGGAAACCAACTCATAGCTGTAAATACACACAGGGGGAAATTTCCCATCTTTCTTCCATGGAGCAGTTTTTGGATTTGAACCGCCTGCCTTTGGGTTGGCAGCACAATTCCTCATCCTCTAGGCCACCAGAGCTCCTTCCATAAAGATGACAGCATAGGAAATAGTTCTTCTTTGTCACATGGATTAGAATCAACATGACGGCATCGAGTAACAACAGGGTCTCTGTTGTAACTGTAGCTTCACTGTAGCCGTTGGCTGTGGATGAAGGAGGATGCGTTCCAATAAAACTTTATTTACAGAACAGGTGGGATGGGCCAGGCAGCCATGCTCTGCCAACTTCAGCTTACTCACCGTGTTTGAATGAAGAAGAGAGGGGCTCGTGCAGAGCCTGGGGTGAGAAGATGCCGGAGTAACAGGGACACTGCGCATAGTATGGCTAGGATTCTGATTTCCCCAGAAGGGGATGCCAGAGAGAGAGAAAGAGAGAGAGTGGGGACGGGACCACGTGGGACCCAGTGAGAAGCAGACAGTCCCACGGGTACGAGGGACACGTGAGGGTTCTGAGCAGAGGAGAGACAGCATCAGGTTTTTGCTGTAAAGTAGAGGGATGAGATGGAGACCAGGGAGGAGGGAGGGAAAGAAGGGGCCCGAGCAGGGTGGGAGCCACGGGGGTGAGTGAGGAGGGAGAGACGAGTTCAAGGTGAGCGTGATGTTCAGGTGTGGCTGTGGGCTGCCTGGAGGAGGCGTGCAAGAAGCCCAGGTCTCAGGAGAGAAGATGATTCAGGGGGCGACCTCGAAGCTGTGTTAAGCACACGAGGATGAGGTGCTGTGCGACCCCGAGAATGTGCCCATGGAGCCCACAGACACACAGCGGTCAGTCAAGTCCCTGATGTCCACCTTCCTGCCCCGCAGGTATTCGACGTGGCGCCCCCTGGCGTCCGTAAGTGCATCCTCTCCACCAACATCGCCGAAACCTCCGTCACCATCGATGGGATCCGCTTCGTGGTGGATTCTGGTAAGGACACCCCCGGCCACCACCCCATGGGCCAGAGAGGAGGGTCAGCCGCTGCCCTTGTCCCAGACCGAGCAGGAAGCTTTTCGTCTTTCTCAGACACGCCGGGTGCACGCCTCACCCGGGGTCTTTGCACTCACTCTCCTACTTCACCTTCTGGCTCTTTGCAGATGCAGCATCTTTCTTATGCATGGTGGCAGGTTTGTGGCAACCCAGGGTTGAGCAAGCCCTGCCATTCTTCCAGGAACAGCCTGTGCTGTTCGCTTCCTGCCGCTGTGTCACTCGGTGGCAATTCTCAGAATATTGTGACATTTTCCGTCATGTTACCCAGAACGAGCTACCCCAGCCTAACGCAGGCCTCTGCTGTCGAGTTGATCTCGGCTCCTGGCGACCGGCCATCGGGTTTCAAGGCCTCATTTCTCTCCCAAGGAGTGGCTGGTTGATTCCAATAGCCGATCTTCGAGTTTGCAGCCCAGCAGTAATCTGCTGTGCTCTCCTAGGGCTTCATTCATAGATAGTTCAATGTAGTGTAATATATGAGAAACCAAAATATTTCATGCGTCTGCCTTATTGCATTGTTCTGGAGTCCAACCTGCTGTGTCTCCGGGGTCTGTCCTGTATTCTCTGTGGAGAGCGGCCTCTCTCCACATGTCCACATTGCTTATGCCTTCACCTGTTCCTCTACTTCCTTCGATCTTGAAGTCACTATCCCCTCCTTCTGCCATTCTCTCCTCCCCTGGGATGCTTGCCTTTCCTGCATGGCACTGCCATTACCTTTCCATCCACTCCTCTCTCTTTTCTGTCCTCCCACCCAATACAAGCCGGCATGTCAGCGTCACATACTGGTTGGGAGACTCGGGACCCCAGCCTGGCTGCGTGTCTTGCCGGCTGTGGATGAGGGTCATGGTGCTGGCACACTCTGTGCCTCAGTTTGCTCGTCTGCAAAATGGGCATAACGGCAGGCCTGCCCTCAGGTTGTCAGGATAACCTGGTGGGGGCACTCTTGGGTGCTGAGGACGGTGCCTGGTGGAGCGTCTCGCGGTAAATGCTGTAACCAGTGGCCGTTGACTCCCGGTGGCCCGGTCCACCTGTGTGTGTCAGAGCCCGGTGATGACTGCTGGTGACCCTGTTGGCCTGTGTGTGTCGGAACAGCACTGTGCTCTGCAGGCTAAGTTTTCTGAAGTAGATCACCAGGCCTTTCCTCTGAGGCACCTCTGCTTAGACTGAACCACTGGATTCAGATTAACAGTCTGAAGGGCTAACCATAAGCACCTCTCAAGAACCCCTTAACGTTGGTTACCTTGTTGGCTTGAATCTTAAGGTGCCGGCACTCTAAAACCTGTTGTTGTCTACAGGAAGCTCGGGGTGGGGGTGGGGGGTAGCGTGTAGGGAGCTGACCCAGTGCTGATGCTTCTCTGGTGAGCCGGGTCCACCCGCAGCTCTGCAGGAGAAAGACGGGCAGGGGCAGGCCCCTCGTGTGTGATTTACAGCCTCAGAAACCCAGTGCAGGCTCAGCGAGGAGCCAGCAGCGAGTGTGAGTTCCTGCCTGTCCACTGAGAGCGTGATTAAACACAGTGTGAACAGGGGCTGGTCTTGGAGGCGATGACACACCGTGTTTTCCGTTCAGCCTGCTCAGCACACAGGCTTGGTCCTCTCCCTCTGTCTGCCCAGAGCTTGGCCCAGGCAGCCGGCTGCCCACTCCTGGAAGCCCTCAGTGTGTCACAGTGGGAGGCCGCTGCTTTTCTGGGTGATGCAGTCGTGAAAGAAAATCGTTGTGGTTTGTGTGACGCTCCGGATGGTTTTCAGTGACTGACTCATAAAACTAGATGATCGGGTCTTGTTCTGAGGCAGGTCCGGGTGGACTTGAACTTCTAGCCTTTTGGTTAGGGCCCCAAGCACGTTAGCTGTTTGCACTGCCCAGGGCCTCCCCGGCATGTAGCAGGTGCTTCCAAAGAGAGGGAGGCATCTCCCGATTCACGGAGAAACTGCAGAGGATGATGGGTCCAAGGTGGGTGGGTGAGACAGCAGACTGCTGGCTCTGAGGCCACCAGTTCACGTCCAAGAGGCAGAAGTGAAGAGCCAGAGGCAAGATCCTCATCTGCCAGCCAGCTTTGCCACAGGGTCCATAAGCTTGTTTTCATTGCTGGTCACCGTCCAGAGGATACTTCCCGACATCAGATCGGGGCTGTGAGCAGTTAAGGGTTTGCACCCCGCCCTGCTCCTCTCCTGTGGGGGCTGCTCATATCTGGCTACATCACTGAGAATAAGTACATGATTATAAAAGTACCAAATTACCCCACTCTATAAATGCCACCCCGGAGATTCGTGGCCCAGCCACTCCCGTAACCGCCACAACCTTCTCCCGACTCAGGAAAGGTGAAGGAGATGAGCTTCGACCCGCAGGCCAAGCTGCAGCGGCTGCAGGAGTTCTGGATCAGCCAGGCCAGCGCCGAGCAGCGCAAGGGCCGAGCCGGCCGCACGGGCCCCGGCGTCTGCTTCCGCCTCTACGCCGAATCAGACTACGATGCCTTCGCCCCCTACCCCGTCCCGGAAAGCCGGAGGGTGGCCCTGGACGCACTGGTGCTGCAGGTGAGACACGCAGGAGGGAGGACTGGACGCGGGTGGGGTCTAGACCGTGGCAACCAGTCTTAAGGAGTCCTGGCAGTGCGATGGTTAAGTGCTCAGCTTGACGAGAAGGGTCAGTGGTTCAAACCCACGAGCCGCTGTACAGGTGAAAGAGGGGCGTCTGTATCTGTAAAGATTTACAGTCTTGGCATCGTGGGTTTAGTAGGTGATGCCTCTACGCTCATGTTAGTGTGTCTTGTAAATATACCCTTGTATGGAGCAGAGCCCACAGGGAGCAGAGCTGCTTAATCATAACCAAACAGCCAGGGCATGATTGCTGGTGTGAAGCTTTGGGACCATAACCTTTGGGGTCATCAAGGTCAGTTGGCATAATCTAGTCTGCAAACACAGTGTTCTATATCCTGCTTTGGTGAGAGAGCTCTGGTGGCCTAGTGACAAGAAGCTGCGCTGCAATCCCAACGGCATCTGGTTCAAAGCCACCCGCTGCTCCATGGGAAAAGGACGGGCAATCTCCTCCCGTGAGAATAACGGCCTCTGAAAACCCACTGGAGTGTCAGCTGTGGATCGGTTCCAATTTAACGGTACACAACAAAGATAACAACAACTTTGGTGAGAAGCAGCTGGAGTCTTAAAACCTTGAGAACAGCCATGTAATTAGCCATCTATTAGTCTCCCTCAATCTGGAACAAAGAAAAAGGGAGGAAAAGCAGAAAATCATTCTTGGATGCTTACCAGTGAGGGAGAAGGAGCAAAGTTAGTAAATCGATAATTGGAAACGCTCGCTGGCGTGTGTCGGGCAGAATCATAGCTGACCCTCCCGGCAGTTTTCCGAGGCTGTGACTCACACGGGAGGCCATCGCCCACTTTTCTTCTGCAGCGCAGCTGGTGGATTCGAACCCCCACCCCCACCCCGAGGCTTTGCCTGTGGCTTAATGACACGATTCCTTACAGACTGCACCTCCAGAGCTCCATGTAGGTAGGAGGCACCTAGTTATCCCAAAGGGATAATGGGCATGTACTAAACTGGGTGAAAGGAGAGGCAATATCCAGTAAGAGATGGTCAGCCTAGTCTGACTAAAGATGGGAGGACACAAAGAGGTCTAGAAGGGCTAGTGGAAACCAGACATACAGGGAGGAAGTGGGGAAAGTGCCGTTACATTGTGGGTATTTGTTGTTGTTGTTATGTGCTGTCGATTCGCTTGTGATTCATAGTGACCCTGTATTCAAGAGCCCTAACCCCTGCTCTATCCTGTGCCAATCTTACTGTCTCTGACACACCTACCTCCACTACCCCAGTCACTGAATTAATCCATCTCATTGAGGGTCTTCCTCTCTTGCTCTGTCACTCCGCCCTCCCAAGCATGATGCCCTTCCAGGGACTGGTCCCACCTTGCTACATGCCCAGAGTATGTCAGACAGAGCTTCTGAATCCTTGACTCCAAGGAGCAGCCTGGCTTCACTCTCTCCGGGATGAATCTGTTCGTTCTTTTAGCAGTCCATGGTATATTCAGCACGCTTCTCCAGCACCACAACTCAAAGGCATCAATTCTCTTTCTATCATCCCTAGTCATTTTCCAGCTCTCTGATGCGTAGTAAGTGATTGCGAAGACTCAAAATATTTATTAATGATTAAATGAAAAAATAATTTGTTTTGTAAACCTTCACTCAAATCACAGTGAAAAATAAACTTTAGTACAAATAAGCAATTAGTCCTAAGGACTAGAACCTCAACTTCCAAGACCTTGAGAGCAGAAAGCCTAGATGGTGCCCAGCTACCACCGCTGACCACTCACTCCAAAAGGGGCCGGAGTGGAAGATCTGGGCCAGGGTGGGGGGAAATGTGGAGCAGAACTTAAAAACACACAAGACCAGGTGTGTTGGCGGAACTCCCAGGACTGGCCAGAGTTGGGGGACAGAGCGCTGGACAGGGAGGTTAGCAGACAGACAGTGGCCTTTCTTCCACCCCTTCACAGTGTGAATGATGGGGGGGGTATCCCCTAGGCTCCTCCAGCCTGGTCATTTGGGGTGTATCACAAGTTGTGAGCGCTGAGCAGCCCCAGTGCCCCCCAGTCTCATGTGTACCTCATTTCCTTTGTCCTTTCAGATGAAGAGCATGGACGTCGGGGACCCCCGAACCTTCCCCTTCATCGAGCCCCCACCTCCAGCCAGCCTGGAAACTGCGATCCTCTACCTCCGGGACCAAGGGGCCCTGGACAGTGAGGAGGCCCTCACGCCCATTGGCTCCCTGCTGGCCCAGCTGCCTGTGGATGTGGTCATCGGTGAGGAGCCCCTCGGGGTGTCACTGGCTCCTGGGGTGGGTGTGAGACCAGCCGGCACGTCTCTTCCATCTCCGGGCCCTGTTCATTCATTCATAGATTTGTGATCGCCTCTTCTGTGCCAGGCCCTGTTTCTGGGGCCGCAGATGCCACAGGCGCAAGTCCCTGCCTTTGGGGAGTTCACGTTCTGTTGTTGCGTGTTAAGTCAGAACTGACTCATAGAACTGACCCCCCCACCCCTGCCCACAAAGCAATGGGACATCTTTCTCTCATGGAACAGCTGGTGGATTTGAACTGCGTGCCTTAAGTTTGACAGTGCAACTTTTTACCCACTAGGCTACCAGAGCTCTCATTCTCCAGGGGCCTCAAAACTAACCAGTTCCAGAAGGTTTTAGGTAGCTGAGGTTTTTGTGTTTGTTTTTTATTTCCCCAGAGTAAACCGCCAGGCCTGTCTTCCGAGGTGTCTCAGTGCCCTTTAAGTTAACCACTTGCGTCCCCCTGGGACTCATCATCTAGTGAGAGCAAATCAGAAAAGTTAGCTCAGCCTGTGGCAGGTCAGGAAGGAGCTCTGGTGGCGCTGCGGTTAGAGCACCGCTGCAAACTGAGAGGTCAGGGGTTTCAGATCTTTCCGGCCACCTCCAGAGGAGAGACACGGCTTCGTGGGGAAAGATTTGAAACCAAATTGCTGTTGTAGAGCTGGAACCAAGCTGGCCCTCCAGCCGGCCCCTGCGGCTGTTAACCGCACTGAGGAAATGGCCCATCTTTCTCCCTCAGAGGAGCTAGCGGGTTAGGGGTAGGGTTAGGGATTCGAACCGTGACTCAGGCGTGGGCTTTGGCTTAGCTGTGTGACTCCCTGCAGACAAAGTCACCTTGGAGACCAGGGGTGTGGGGGTGGGGTGCTGCTGTTCTGCTCTGTCCCATGGGGTCACCATGAATGGGAGTTGAGCAGACAGTGGGGAATTTGCAGTAAGTCAGATGGCATGAGCGGCACAGAGAGAAAAATAAAGCGCAGGACGGGGAGTGGAGGTGGTAGGTGCCGTGCCGTCCACGGAGGCCTTCATTGGTCCCATGTCAGTCCGTCTTGTTGAGAGCCTTCCCCTCTTTCACTGACCCCACATTTCACCACACAAGATGTCCCTGAGGGCCTGGCCAGTCCTGGCGACATGCCCAGAGTGTGTGCGGTGAATCCTCACCCTGAGGGGAGCTCCGGCCGCACCTCTGCCTAGACTTCAAGTCAGCCTGTGGTCGGTGAGGTTGGACTAGCAGAGTGAGAGTAGAAGAAACCCACCAACCTTTGAACCCTTGACTGTATCCCCTGGGGACTCCCTGACACCAGTATACCGAACCCCATGGACAGTGACCCCGGAGGATAGAGTAGACTTGGCCCACTTTCCAAGGCTGTCATCGCCCCAGCAACCAGCTTCCTCATCTTCCTTGTCAGGGACAACTGGTGGATTTGAACCACCAACCTTTTGGTTAGCCACCAAATGCCAAACGGCATTGCCTAGACTCCTTTGAGACCAGTAGTGTGTGGGTAAGGTTGCTGAGGGACAGAAACTGTGCTGTCCTCGGCTTGCAGACAGGGAAACTGAGGCCCTCACCCCAGGTTACGTGGTGAATTTGAGCATGGCTATCTTTTCATAAGCAAAGACCCCTGTGCCTGAGGGGTGCGAGCTGTGGGACCCCTGGACCAGGCACTGCTCAGCCCCTGCCCACTCCCTCCGCAGGGAAGATGCTGATCCTCGGCTCCGTGTTCCACCTGGCCGAGCCCGTCCTCACCATCGCCGCGGCCCTAAGCGTCCAGTCGCCCTTCACACGCAGCGCCCAGAACAGCCCTGAGTGTGCGGCCGCCCGGAGGCCCCTAGAGAGTGACCAGGGCGACCCCTTCACGCTCTTCAACGTCTTCAATGCCTGGGTGCAGGTGGGACAGGATGCAGGTGGGGCAGAGGCTGGGTGCTGGTGAGGCCAGGGGCCGGGTGCAGGTGGGGCTGGACGCAGGGGAGTGACAGGGGCTGGGGGCAGGGTGCAGTTGGGGTTGGGTGCGGGTGGGGCTGGGGACAGTTTGCAGTGGGGGCTGGGTGCAGGTGAGGGGTCAGGGGCCGGGTGCAGTTGGGGCTGGATGCAGGGGGGACCAGGGGCCGGGTGCAGGTCGGGCTAGATGCAGGGGGGGCTGGGATGCAGGTGGTGCTGGATGCAGGGGGGGCCGGGAGCCAGGTGCAGGTGAGGCCAGCCACAAGGCACCCACCTGTCATTGTCATGAGGTTAGGGCCTTCAGCTGGAGGGTCACACTAGTCCTTCCCCAGACAGGGCTCACCTGAGGGTGACCACCCAGGGCTGTGAGGAGCCCTGAGCAGTGAGTCACGTCTGCCGAGGAGGTCTGCATTCCTTAGATGGGCTTCTCTGTGTCCAAGCAGAAGCCCTGCTCTGAACTTGGCCCTGTGCTGGGGACACACTGTGACCCAAATAACCCCAGCTCTGCCCTCATGGGGCACCTAGTCCATTGGAGGAGACATAGCTGTCCTCAGACACTGGTAACCCAGGGTGCACAGGGGCCGGTGGACCCAGAGAAGGCGCCTGGTTCAGCCTGGACAGTTAGAGCGGGCTTCCTGTACGAGGGGGCGTTGTAGCTGATCCCTGAAAGAAGTAAAGAGGCAAACAGGGCCTGACAGGTCTCCCACCAGCCTCACACCCTTCCAAGGGTGGCGTTCATCCCCCTGCCTTCAGGCCCCGCTCCGAGCTGGCCAGGCCCTGACCCCCTGGTGTCTGCACCCTCGCCAGGTGAAATCTGAGCGGAGCAGAAACTCACGCAAGTGGTGCCGCCGCCGGGGCATCGAGGAGCATCGGCTGTATGAGATGGCCAATCTCCGGCGCCAGTTCAAGGTGAGAGGAGGGTGCGCGTGGGGTGTGGGATCGGGAGAGGGGAGGTCGGAGGGCACCGGGGCAGCAGTGCTGGGGGAGGTAGAGAGCAAGGGAGCAAGAGTCCTGGGTGTGTGTGAGTCCCTCTGTCCCTGGAAGGTGACAAGACCAGAGTCCCTTCCCATGTACATCTCCCATTCTGATCAACGGGCAGAACAAGGAGGACTTCCTGGAGGAGACAGAAAAAAAAAATCAGGATACCTCCTGCATGGTCATGCAAAGCCTTGCCCTCTGAACCGGGAGTGAGTGCTGGGAGGCGGCAGTAGTCAGGGGATGTTCGGTTCCACTGCCCTACAGGCTCACTGTGGGTTGGAATCGACTCCAGGGCAGTACATTGCAGTCCCCGGGACCCACGCTGGAAAACACTTAAGTCCTCAGTTGCTAACCGGCAGGTCAGTGGTGACCTGGCTCCTAGAGGCCCTGCTGAACTGCCTGCCCCACAGGCTTCCTAAGACTGCAGATGTTACAGACACAGACTGCCACGTCTTTCCTCTGCGGAGCAGCTGGTGGATTCGAACCGCCAGCCTTCAGATTGCAGGCTAGTGCTTCACCCCTGTGCCATCAGAGCTCCTTCCATAAAGCTCACAGCCTTACGGCTCTGATCCGTCAAGCAGGCTCACATTTGTCTGCCTGACCCCAGCACGCCTCCTCCAGCCCCTCCGTTTAAGGCAGACAGGGCTTGGGAGGGTCCCTCATTGCCCTGTGGTGGCAGCATAACCCAAACCAGTCACCATCAGGACAGTTTTCCCACCCGTGATGCGTGTCACCTTCGTAGGGTTTTCTGTGGCTGATTTCTGCTAAGTGGGTAACCAGGCTTTTCTTCCGAGGGGCCTCTCCGTGGGCTCAAATCTCCAGCCTTCCTATTTATCAACTGGCTTCAAATGACCCCTGACCTTTGGGACTGCGGCCTGTGGCCCCACAGCCCCATTCTCAGACACGTATTATATAAACGCAAACTCACTGATTGTGATTGATGATGGCGATGCCATGGGACAGAGCAGAGCAGCCCCAGAGCGTTTCCAGGACTGTGCGTCAGCACAGAGGCCAACTTCTCGTCCTCCCCTGGGTTGAACTCTGGCCTCTGGGTTAGTTGCTGCATGCTTTAACTCCTGCACCACCAGGGCTTTCTGGAACAAGGGTCCCTCTTCGCCCTCTGAGGAAAATCAGGGCACAGGCGGGTGAGGTGGCTTATGAGCGAGCAGAGTCCCCGGGCCTTCTGTCCCTCACGCGACCCCACTGCCCTCAGGACCTGCTGGTGGACCACGGACTGCTGGCCTCGGCTCAGGCCCCGGGGCCGGGGGACAGCCACAGCCGGCTGCAGCAGCGCAGGGAGCGCCAGGCCCTGTACCAGCTGAAGCGGCAGCACGAGGAGAGCGGGGGCCGCAGGCGCAAGGTGCTGCGGCTGCAGGAGGAGCAGGACGGTGGCTCCAGCGACGAGGACCGTGGCACCACCCGGGCCACCCCTGATGACGTGGACATCCAGGTGGGGACAGGCTGCGGGGTGGCGTTCACCAGAGCGGGGACACGGGGACTAGCGGACAGGGAGCAGGCCCCCAGCAGGATGCAGCAATACTTAGCCAGGGAGCAGGCCCCCAGGAACCCCACTGTCCCCTGTGTCCCACAGGACGTGAAGTTCAAGCTCCGGCACAACCTGGAGCAGCTGCAGGCGGCCGCCAGCTCCGCTCAGGACCTGACCCGAGACCAGATGGCTCTGCTCAAGCTGGTGCTGGGCCGTGGCCTCTACCCACAGCTGGCCGTGCCCGACCCCTTCAACAGCGGCCGCAAGGACTCGGACCAGGTGGGCCCCCTTCCTCTTCCTGACTCTCCCTGACTTATTCTGTCACTCAGCACATGGTCACCAAGTCCCTGCTCTGTGCCTGGCCCACGATGGGGACAAAGTAGTGACCATGCATCGGCCATGCACTGTAGGACACTGAGGTGCACAGAACCAGCCCCAGACTGAGAGGGAGGCAGTGGGGCCAGGCTTGGGATGGAGTATCCCTGGGGCTGTGGGTGAGTGAGAGAGGGTTTCCTAGAGGTGGGAGGAAGGCCCCCGAGGCCATTCAACCAAGCACCCACTTTGGTCTCCTCAGATATTCCACACACGAACCAAGCAAGGCACTGTGCTGCACCCAACCTGTGTCTTCGCCAGCAGCCCTGAGGTGCTGCACACCCAGGACGCAGAGGGCAAGGGCGGCGATGGGAACCGAGGTACCAGGAGCCCCGGTGTCAGGCGAGGCCCTGTCACAGACAGACAGGACACAGAGATTATGGGGGTTACCATCCATTCTCCTCTAGATGAAGGGCGGGCCCTCTCGAATCACCCAGCTTCATGACCTGGGCAAGTCCATCCCGCCTTGATGCCCCTGTCCTATGAGATGTGATAACTGACTCAGGCCCAGATGGTCCCTTCCATGACATGTTGTGGTTCAAGATTTAAAGATGATTTCCAAGCATTAGATTCCAGACTCAGTGAATCCAGTCAGTCTGGATTCCATGTGAATTTGCAATTCTGCTCCACAGTTTTCCTCTCTTTGATGAGAATCCATCTGTTGGGGCCAGATACCACCCATTTCTTGTGATCTCATAGCAGAGGAGTGCTGGTCCACGGAGCAGCTGGGCCTGTGGTCCACTCCCTCCTCCGATTCCCAGATCTCCTCCTTCCTCTGCTGCGTTGCTGGAGCATTTTCTAGCAGATCACGTGATTTAGAAATAATAAATAACCAGGACAGTTTTGAAGGTGCCGCAATGCTGTTATCGTTCCTGAGAAAATGAGCAGTGATCCCTTATCATCATCGCATACCCCCGCGCGTGCTCATGGTGGCCACGTCCTTTAGAACAAAGCTCAGACGTGAGCTGAACAAGCATGTTCCTCATCGGGATGCAGAAATGGGAGGGGTAGGTGTGTGGGGGCGAGTCAGTGGGCAGGGGGCCTGAGCGCTCCTTCTCAACCTTCCAGATGACAAGGACAAGGTGAGCAGCCGACACCAGCTCCTCCCCTTCGTCTCCCTGCTGGAGACCAACAAGCCGTACCTGGTCAACTGCGTGCGCGTGCCCGCCCTCCAGGTGAGTGCTTGCCCGTGCCCCGTCACCGCAGCTCCCAGGTGGCACAGCCAAGTCGCCCAGGGCGCCCCGAGAGGCCCTCCCACCCGGCTGGCCCCAGACCTAGCCATGGACTATGGGGGTGTTAGAATCTCAGGGTTCTCCAAGAAGCAATGACGTGTGTGTGTGTGTGTGTGTGTGTGTGTGTGTGTACTGTTTTTACACACCATCAAGGCAGAACCGACTCACAGCTGCCCCTCCAGCGGCTGCTCAGAGGCTGTAAAGTGCACAGGAGGAGAGTGCCCGTCTCTTTCCTTCGGAGCAGCTGGTGGATTCGAACCACCTTTGTGTTGGCAGCATCCCCTCTCTCCCCACGAGGCCTCCAGAGCCCCTGTGTGTGTCTGACTCGCTAACGCCTCATCACGGAGTCACAGCGCCTTTGCCGACCCTCCTTACGGTTTCCGAGGCTGTAAATCACGTGGGAGGAGATCTTTGTCCTGCGGAGCCGCTGGTGGAGTTGAACCGCCCGAGAGGCTCAGCCTCGGGCTGAGAGTGCCGCTCCGACCCCTCAGGCCACCAGAGCCCTCTCTGTGTAACACACTGTGTTTCAGATAGTACCACCTAGGGGAGGGCCAGCACCACCAGAAACAGGTTATCATGCTGATTAATGTGGGGGTTTAAAACAAAAAGGAGAACCTTTCCCCCCAAGTACATGTTTTTATCACTTAAAAAATAAGTTCCATTTGAAAAAAAAAATCTATCTATCTATCTATATCTATATCTATCTATATCTATATCTATATCTATATCTATATCTATATCTATATCTATATCT